GATTCCAGGAATGAATTTAAAAGTCGCTCAGAATAGCCTCTGACTGCATTTTACCCTTTCCCCCAGTTTTGGGGGAGGTAGATGTCAAAGTCTAAAGTGTTAAAAACAATTAGCTCTTTTTTCCTTCCTTGCCAAGAACCAGGATTATTCGATCAGAGATATATTTAAATAATTCTGCTGTTCACAGCTGCATGAGGAATGGGTTCTTCTTCTCCATTTAGTAGCTGTGTTTTACAACCGTCTATCTTAAATATGAACGGGGGGAAGCGGGACTGTCCAATTCCATCCTATATTGCTTTCTATATTGTGTTACATAACAATATAGAAAATGTCTAAGCCCTAAAACACAGGCCACATAAAGAACTAACCTGACTCATATACTATATACGATGTCTGTTAGCACAGACACGCTACTGACACGTAGTAGGTACTCACTGAACGGTGTCGAACACGTGTCTTGAATATATGTTTTCCTTACAACCAGCAAGCCGTTGAGGCCTGAAACAGTATATTCATTGAATCTAAACACTGTCAGAGCCTATTCAGAGAGTCAGAAGATGATAGATGATGAAATGAACAGATGCTTTTTTAGTTTGGAGGCTGAATGTTGAGAGACTTTTCCCTCTTCATTCATGGCTCCTGAAATATGTTTATGATCCTGGTGGAATTCTGTAGACATTTCTCTAAACCATTGTCTTAGGTAGCAAATGTGATAGAGCACTTCTGGCAGCTGGGCCAAGTTTTTCCACTTTTGTCTATAGGAAATGTTCATAAAAGTCTTCATGTATATGTAACGCATAGTGTGTTCTCAATATCAAAATGGCCCTAGAGATCACAGATAACACATGTGATTGTGAGGCAACCCAACATTGGGCCAACATATTAATTGCAGGGCAAACCCCTCAAGTCAAATAACTGTGAACTAAATGGTTGGAAGGGGTAGGGCTGCTAGCATCTACAGCTCTTAGGTATTTTTCCTTAAATTCTTCACCTACTCTGCTGGTGTTGGCCGAATGCCTTCTGTATGTAGGAGACATACCATGGGAGGTTCAAAGATAAAACGTGTTCTCTGCCCTCCTACTGTCATAAGCTAGTGGAGGGGACAGACAGGCCAACAACACAATTGTCCAAGGAATGAAATAATTGCTAGACAAAGCACCACACTGTGGGTCCCTGAAGGGAGGACCCTTCTTACTGGAGAGACCAGGGAAGGCTTTGCAGTGGGGGTAGCATTTGATGTAGACCTTGCAGGATGGGAAGAGTTTTAATGAGCAGAAAATGGGGGGGACAAAAGGGCTTTCCAGGCTGGGGGAACAGCATGACCCAACACATGAAGGCACGGAGGTCCTTGGTGCGCAATGGGAAAGAGGAAGTGGCTCAGATAGCTGGGATGGGGAAGGGTACATGGGAGGCGAGGTTTTCAGAGCAGATGTGCAGTCATTTCAATGCCTGGCCAAGGACTTTGGGCCTTACTATTGGGAAGTGACAAACAAGGGAAGGTTTCCGAGCCAAGGGTTGGCGCGGGCGGATCCTCCTTTAGGAGAACGGCCTCAGAGGCAGTGTGCAAAAGTGATCTCGACAGCAAAGCGGAGGCAGGCAAACCTGCTGAGGTTCTGCATCCATTTCCATTTCGGTTGACCTCTTTGTAGTGTTGGGCAGGGTGGCCAGCCCAGACTGCCCCCTCGAATGCTGTGATCTGGAAACTTGTGGCTCCACCCCCCGATCCTGCCTCTTCCCCACAGCCTCCCGGGGCCTCCTCTCGGAGATAACGGCTGCACTGGGATCCCCGGGAATGTGGAGCGCCCTCCAGGGTGGCTGCCTGCGTTGGCCGCTCTTCAGGTTCCAGGTTGTCCCTCCTTGAAGATCCCATCTTCCCCCTCTGCTTTCACTCTCCGCACCAGCCTCGCGGTCCGATTCTCTCCCACCCACCAGACGGTCAGCAGATGGGGGGCTCCTGCCCGCTGAAGATGCAGCATATTGCCCCTGCCCCCCAAAGCTCAGCCTCTGCCCTGCTCCCGGTCACGTCCCCAATTCTCTCCGTAAATAGCCTCCATCCCCCTCGACACCCCGAGTTTCCTCTGATTAAGCCTCTGCCGAATGCTCTTCATTCTCCTCCTCAAGTGACCGCAGAGCCGTCCTCTCCCTTCCTCTCATTGCTCAAGTTGAGGATCTCTCGTGTATTTCAAGTCAACAGGTAGTTACCAAGCTCCAGGGCCTGCGCTGGGGACCCGACAGCGAGAGGGAAGCAGGGCCCCGTCCCAGACCCGCCAGCCGTCTAGCAGAGACCACGGGCAGTAAGCAAGGACGTGGGGGCCGGCGAGCTTTTCAGAGGTGGAAATACAGGCCACTGTGCCCCACGGCCTCTGCCCAGACTCCTACCCGTAGCCAGAATTTTCCTAAGAAGTGTTTACGGAATGATTTTCCAGATTCTCTTCTCAGAAAATGTCCACTGGCTCCACTGTCATTCGCTTGCAGTCACAAGTCTAACCTTTCTGGAATGGCATCCTCCGAGGTCCTCCCCGATCTGCCTCCAAACTAGCTTTGCTAACCCCCACCCGCCACCGCCAGCCACCCACGCGGGGAGGAGACATCCCTCCTCGCCACCCCCGGGCCTCGGCTCAAGCCACCCCTCGGTTCCGTGGCCACACGCGCGCGCCTGTCTGCGCTCTGGCCGAGACGCCGCATCTTCCAGGAAGTCCTCCTGCCGCCTGCTTCTCCCCCGCCACATCCGCCACAGCCTGCGTGGTAGGCGCGACTCCCCTTCCCGCCCTCTGCCTACCTTAGTCATCCCGAATAAGCACGGCGAGACAACAGCCACACTTAGGAGATGCTCCAGCGCGTGTTTTATCTCTGTGCCCGTGCCGAGCGCTCTGCTCCATCACACTCTCCTGTCCCCTCCTTGTGACGGGCACGCGGGCGAGGTGCTCCCCCTGGCCTCTTGTACAGAGGGAGTCAGCGAAGACCAGGGAGGGGAGTTCACTTTCTGGATCTCAATCTAGGGAGCTTCACCTCAAAGCCCATATGCCCTTAACCACGACCCGCCTTTATTCCTTGCACATGACGAGTGCATCTTGGGGGGTGGCTCAGCTAAGAGAATGGGGACAGCAAGTGCTTCTTTGGGGGGTGGCTCAGCTAAGAGAACGGGGACAGCGAGTGCTTCTTGGGGGGTGGCTCAGCTAAGAGACTGGGGACAGCAAGTGCTTCTTTGGGGGGTGGCTCAGCTAGAAGAGAACGGGGACAGCGAGTGCTTCTTGGGGGGTGGCTCAACTAAGGGGAACGTGGGACAAGCGAGGCCAAGGAGCAGCCTCCCCAGAGTTCACGCGACAAGCCCTGGTCCCCGAGTCATGACAAATGCAGGAACTTTCTTAGTGACCACTTCGTCTCTAGACAAAAAAATAATTTACTGAGGAAATGGAGCCTTTCAAAGGAAAACTAGTATTTTGGGCGGACCGGGGTGGCGCAGGATCCGATGGCAGTTGCCGGAATCCAGAGTGATTGAATCTGGCTGGGCTCTGGCGGTGACTGTGTCCATCATCAACGCAGCCCTGTGGGAACCAGGCACCCGAGCAAAGCGAACTCTATGTTTCGGAGCCACAGCGCACAATTTTCCTTTTTCCCCACCGCCTCTGCTGAACCCGAGGGAGATGTTTAACAAGGGAACAGCCTCCTCCCCCTCCCTCCCTCCCGGGCTGGACCTGCTGTTTCCGTAAGGAAGGGTGTTTAGCGGAGCCCACGGCCTCCCCCACAGCGGTCAGGAGCCTTTGCCCTCAGCGCGAACAGACCTGCCTTGTGGGCAGCCACAGTGCAGGACGGTGGCCGTCTTTCTGGCTCCTGCTTCAGGGTCCAGACCTTCTGGGTGGCTTCCACCCATGGCAGTGGGACAGGGCAAGATGGGACAGTTGGGTTGAAGGGTTGGGAGAGGGAAGCACTTACGCAGTCACAGTACAACAGCGGCGGATGTCATGTTCTGGATGCAACACGGGAGTGTTGAGTTGCCTCAGACACCCTGGAGAATGGAGCCCAGATTTCAATCCTCTTCCTGAGCCCAACTCCAAAACACCCAACATCTAGTCTGAGGACAGCCCACAACTCCTTGTCTTCCCCTCTCCTACTCTCCCTCCATCATCCCAGGATACTAGAGGATCCGTTCCATTTCCTAGGTTGTTTCTTCTACTTGGCTTGGACATTGGCTTATCTTGTAAGTTTAGGTCTGGTGACCGTCTTTTTATGTATTGCCACTTGCCTCCGCCAATAATCTCTTAGGAGCGGAAATGCCACATATAGTATTTTTTTCCTCTTGCTTCTTGAGTATTTCGCCTCAGACGAGAGGGCGCATCTCAGTAATACATGCAGCGACAGACCCACAAACTGCACAAGTAAATGTTGACAACTGAGAGTCTTGTCCAACACATTGCGCTTTCTACACCCTCCGATTCAATGATGCCACGCTGCTCCTGGATTTCGTGAATCTCATCCACTCCAGGACATTAAAGAGCATGTCTTTAAAGGAGCAGAAATGAGTTTTGAGAAACTGGGATTTTTTTTTTTTAAGTATGTTCCTTAAATCACTAGAGTCATTCTATTGTGTTACAAAACCAGCGAAAAGCCCTATTTCACAGCTTCCCCTGGGAATATCTGCGGGGCCCAAGATCTTGCTACGGATCCAACCCTAGGATAAAAAGATCTTAGAGTTGAGCTTGAGTGTAAGTTTCATTCAACAAACTCTGAGACATCTATCAAATGCCATACTAGCGTGGCTGGTGCGACAGCGGAGTTTTACCGGCAGTGGAAATTGCAGACTAGTCTGGGCCTTCCTGCCCCGGGATTGATGCTGCGAGGCAGGCCAGTGATGGAAGGCAGGTTGGAGGAGGGGTCTCACCTCCAAAGGGAAGGGTTGCCAGAGAGCCAACCTGGGGGGAGGCCATTAGCTTCACCTTCAGTGCTCACGGCAGGATGAGGAAGGTGAGGGATCAAGAAAAGAGCAGGCCGTGCTCGTCTACCTGCAGGTAGATGGGCTTCCACAAGGAGGTGCTTGTTTGTCGTGCTTGGAGATGAAGCCAGGACCACTGGGTCGCTCTGGGCGGGAAAGACCCCTGGAGATCGGAAGATACCGGGAGGCTCTGAGCGCGCGAGTTAGTGACGTTGCGAACACAAAGCTTCACTGGTATGGACAAACGAGGCACACTGAGTAGAGGTGAGCGACTTTGAGGGGAACACGCCGCCTCTATTTAGGGCACCGAGTGTTCAGAGAATTCCGGCCGGGACAGAGGCCACGAGCTGGATGAAGACAGCGAGGGCACAAGAGGAGACAGGAAGATGGGGAGACAGAGGACCCTTGTTGGGGGGAGGTCTTGGGTCATTAATTGCTTGAGAAAACCCCAGCCAGGACTTGCGGTGGCCTTTTCCGAGGAGGAGGGAGCTGGCCCTCTTTCCAAGGTAAACAGTTCCCGAAGCAAAGTGTCTAGAAGGCGCCAAAGTCCTGGGCAGGGGAGCGCGGGGCAGACGGAAAGCCTGGCCCAGAGGGAGGATAGAAATGCAGGAGGGGGCAGCGGGGAGGGGTGTGAGGCGAGATGGGGTGTCTGGGTTTTGAGGTGGGGCTCCCAAGGTATCTCAGGAATAATAACAACACTTTTTATAAAATGTAATGGTATTATTATATTAGGTAATATTATTATTTAACAATTTGTGTCATCATCAGTAACATCTATACAATGCAGCACTGTGCTGAGTACTTTACATAAAACTTTATATCATTTTATCCTCAAAATAAGCCCGTGAGTTTAGGTAATGTGGTTCTACCCATTGTGGAGAAGAGGAAACTGAGGCTCAGAGAGGAGACATTACCTAGCTCAGGTCTCACGGGGAGTGGTAGTGGAGTCAGGACTTACCCTCAGCTGGGCTGACTCCAGAGCTGGGCTTCCACCGGCCAGGGAAAAGACCCAACCAGCCTAGAGAGAAGAAGGAAACCGCTGAGTCAAACCCAGGTAGAACCGCCACACAACACCCCATCTGCCACTTCCTGGATGTCTCCGTCCATACTCCATCAAACCTAAGATACCAGAAATTGGAAGGCACACCAGCATTTCGTGTACCACTAAGGAAAAAACTGCTACCCGGCCAGATTTTAGACATGTTAAAATATTAAGAACACATGCATCTGAGGCCTGACGAGATGTTTTAAGTGCCGCACTGTGCTGGGGGCTTCGCCTCCGCTGTCTCATTGCACCCCAACAGCAGCCTTTTCTCGTCGACCCTGGCGATTCAGAGAGGGACACGGGGCTTAGCCCAGCGGAGTCTGTGCCCAAGGTTGGTGACCTGGAGCGAGGGCACCGAGGAGGCTGGAACTGTCCCGGGCAACTTCCTGTGCCAGAATCCCTGCCCTTAGCCACACCGTGCCGGTGCCACAGGCCACACTGCCTCTGAAGGACATGGGCCGTCTCTGTCATCTGTTCCTTCTGGTGGGCGGCTGGCCTGGCAAGCAAAACGCACAGTGGGGGCCCCTGACTTCGGGGCTCGTCTGTGCCTGCCCACTTGCAGTCCCAAGCTCCCCCCGGACTCGGGGGTGTGTCTGCTGCTGGTGAGGCCAGGTGACCCCTCAGGAGGACCCTAGCAGCCCCTAGTTCGTAAGCCTCCGTGCTCCAGGGTCCTCCTCTGACCCATCTCTCCCTCTTCCCAAGCTCCACTTGTGCTTGGCGCCAGATTTTGTTGGCATCATCCTTGACCTTGAACTTTATTCTTCCCACATCTTCCTTGCCTCCCCTCCCACCTCTGCCAGTGCCTTAGCCCTGCCTTGTTCACACGCCTTATTCATGTCTTAATCACTTCCCAGCCCTGCTCACATCGCCTCATCGCAAACGGTTTTCTAGAACCCCGGCACGTTAAGATGAAAATATGGGGCAAGAGAGAGGTGGAACAAAGAGGTTGTATGTGTGGAAAAAAACCCAACTGGCCAAGTTTCCTTGCTTCAATTCCTGACCCCACGACCTCCACCGTCCAGTGTGGGCTGCGCATCTCTTGGCTTTCCGACCCGTGTCATCCTCCTGCCCTCTGCCTTGGCCTCTTGGCTATCTTTCCCACAAGTTTCCACAGCGAAGGAGGCGGTTGTGCTTTCGTTAGATCTTCCCCATCTCTGCAAAACAGCCTTGCCCTCTCCCCTCCCAGCCACTGAGTCACTGTTTCCCATCACAGCTCTTCTCAGACACGTCCCTGTCACTGGAGATGAAGGATGGGGCACGGCACTTTCCCCTCCTCTCCCCTTTTACTCCCACTTCAGCAAGAAATTAATATCACAACTTGGATGAAATACTTCCCGACGGGTAAAATAATTCTACTGGAAATGCCCCTTTTCTCCCTCTCCCCCCACCATTAACCTTCTTCTCACTCATCCTCCGTCCTTCCCTTCTTTTCCTTCGTCTGACCCTCAACTCAGCTTAACTCCCCACAAAGCTCTGCTAAGAGGAGCTTTAAAACATCTTGCGACGTCCATAGCTGCAAACCTTCCCGCCTGTTTTTTTTAATAGGTTCAGGGGGTACAAGTTGAATCCTGTTACACACGTATATTGTCTAGTGGTAAAGTCTGGGCTAAGCCTTTATGGGATGTTAGATTTTATTTGTTTTCAGGGTTTGATCAGAGTGTGAAACCTGCTTGGTAAAGGTTTCCTTTGTTCTCGCTTCTCCCAAAGCAAAGAAATGTCTGCTTCCTCCCCACACTCCGTACGTGGAGGAGGCTACAGAAAATACGTGCTGAGTAAACGAATGACTGGTGGACATTGCTGGGCTTTTGCGTCCATTTACAAGGAAGCTCCATCCATTCATCCAACAATTATCTATTGAGACATCACTATGTGCCAGGCCGTGTGTTAAGCATAGTGGATATAATAGTGAACAAAATAAACGAAATCCCTGCCCTCTTGGAGCTTACCTTCTAATGGAAAACGACCATTCAAAAATCATTCAATTGGTGTCCACCTATTACTGAACTCTAATAAAGCGTGTTGGAGGAAAGTCTTGAAATGACAGAAAATCTGAATACACATTTGTTCTGGGAGAGCTAAAAAGTCGGGAGGGAGAGAGAGAATTAGAGAATGAGAGGAGAACATGTTTAACTGCTTTATGGAGCTATAAGTCACATGCCACACAACTCACTCATTTACAGTAAACAACTCGATAGCTTTTATTAATAGTACATTCACAGTTGTGCAACCGTTGCTGCTGTTTAATTTCAAGACACACACACAAATCAGCAGTCACTCCCATTCCTCCTCCGCCAGCCCCTGGCACCACTAATCTACTCTCCGTCTCTATACATTTGTCTGTTGCGGACATTTCCTATAAATAGAATCACACAATATGTGGTGTCGTGTGTCTGGCTTCTTTCACTTAGCAGAATATCTTCACAGTTTATCCATGCTGCAGCATGCATCACGCTTCATTCCTTTTCACGGCTGAGTAATTTTCCATTGTACGGACATAGCACATTTTGTTTATCCATTCCTCATTTATTGCTTCCACTTTGTGGCTTTGTGAGTCATTCCCCTATGAACATAAATGCATTCATTTTTGTAGGAACGTACGTCTTCATGTCTCTCAGCCAAACACACAGGTGTGGGATTGTTCGGTCACATGGTAACCCCATGCTCAGGCGCTTGAGGAACTGCCAACGGGTTTTCCAAAGTGGCCGCACCATTGTACATTCCCACTGGCAATGGAGGAAGGTTCCAATCTCTCCTGCCACTGCGGAGGGGGCGCCCGTCTGCCCCTGGGGCTTATTCCCGAAGACGGGGCTGGAAAAGAAGATGTGATGTGTGTGGGTGGGGGAAGGGGCGGCCCTGGCTCTAGAAACACCCCCTGAGCCGAGGGGAGCGCTGAAGGTGGGCAGCGCCGCTATGATTTGACGTGGGGGGCCCCGAGAGCGCGGGGGCTGGACGGGCGTGACGGGATGGCGGGCGGGTGCGCCTGGCCCTCCGGATTTCTGCTGTTGCGGCATGATGCAGGGACTGAGATGCGAGCCAGAGGCCATCGCGGGGTGACCCTGCCGCGGGGTTGGGGCAGACCTCCTGGGCAGGGAGGCAGAAACCCGTGGCCAGTGAGAGCCGGTCAGCCAAGGAGCCGCCCTGGGCCCTGACCCAGCCAAGGGAAGCCAGCGGCCCCTGCTTGAGTCATGGAAACCAGGCAGAGGGCCCCCGCCGGGGATCTTGAGCCCCGGAGGACGCTGTGCAGGGAGGGGGTCCATGCTTCCCTCCCAGTGGCCCCCCCACTCCTCCCGCAGCCAGGGAGGGTGGCCACAGAAGGGGGAACTGAGGGCAGAGCATTGCCCCGCGGGGCTGTTCGCCTTCTCCCGCTGGGAGAGGACGAAGATGTTTTCAGCTACCTCCCAGGTGAGGCCTGGGGAGGAAGCCCGCATTGCAGACAGAGAGAAACTCTGTCGTGTTGTATGAGAAAACATGTGACGTGGGCCTGTTTATGGCTGGTCAGCCCAGCAGGAAACTCCCCGACCCAGGGCTAATGACACCAGGGACACGGCCCCATCACTGTCGCTGTGTCTGTGGCTGCTCTCCGAGCGCCTGCTCTGGAGTCAAAGAGCTTCTGGGCAAGAGAGTTTCTCCCTTTCGGCCAGAAAAACAGTCCAAAGGGCACGTCCTTTGTCATCTTTGGCTGTGATTCTTTCAGAAGCACTTGGAGGCATTTGGATGGGCCAGGCTAAAGGAATGTCACCCCTCTAACGATGGCGCCTCCTGGACTTTGAGCCTCCACTTTGCCCCAGGCGCCACGCTAACTCTTTGCGGTGCCACTGAATCCTCCCAGCCAGCCACCCTCTGAAGGCAGGTGTTGTCACTCGAATTTCACAGACAAGGAAACCGAGGGCTCAGTGAGGTTTCCCAAGGTCTGCCGTGGGCAGGCGGCCGGGCTGCTATTCGAGCGCAGGGATCTGACTGCAGGGCCGGGCGCAGAGACGCTGCCCCCGTATTCCGCTTAAAGGTTCCCCCTCGAAGTGAGGGAAGATAGGGGTAAGAGCAGTTTATCGAAGATAAAAACAAAAATGTTGCTGTTTTTTATTTGTAAAAACTACGTGCCCATTTCGCAATAATAAGGACTGTTAAATAGAAAACCGACATGTCACTAGAACGGTGGAGAACCTGAGTGAGAACTTGGCTCAGCCACTCTGGCCCCAACACAAGCCAACGTCAGCAAACCTGAGGCTCCGGCGTTGTTGGTTATATAATTGTCCCCCAAAGACGTGACACCCCGCTCAGCTCAGAGCGTGTGCCTCCATCCATCCCTCCCCTGCTCACCCATCCCGTTGTTCATCTCGCCGTATCGAGCCTACTGTGTGCAGGCACTGGGGACCCAAGTGACCAGGAAGTTCCTCCCTCTGAGGAGCTCACCGTCAGGGCAGAAGCACCCAGAGCGCAGGTACACAGGGGGAGGAGGGTGGCTCTCTGCACCCTGCATCGTCTCTCCCTTCATTTCTCAGCCTCAATGTCACCTCCTCAAGGAGTCTCACCTGTGGGTCTTATTCTTTATTCTCTTTGTTTCTTGACACTGAAGGCAACATCCTCCAAAGAACAACTTGCGATTTTTCTTTGTCCTTTAATTCGTGTGTGTGTGTGTGTGTGTGAGAGTGTGTGTGCGTGTGTGAAGCCCCACGGCAATGTAGTCACATAAAGGCAGAAACCATAACGATCATATTCACAAGAGTATTCCGAAGGCCCGACACGCCCTTTAGCATGTTGCCTGAATGAGCAAAGGCTGCAAGCAGATCATAAAGAGCCTTGCATGCCAAGCTAAGAAGTTTGGACGTAGGCCTGTAGGCAGTGAGAAACAACCGAGGGAATTTGATCAAGGGCTACACGTGATCAGGTTTGCGGTTTGGTTTCCCAGGACAAGGCGGAAGAGGTCGTGGGTGAGGTTAAGTGCAATAGGCTACAGAGAGAAAACTGAGAAGCAATTGCCATGGAAAAGCGTTCAGAGTTTGCTGGCCTAACTTAAGACATTAATGCAAAGGAAAGAAAGCAAAGAAAATTTAAGAAAGATTTAGGTAGAATCATTAGGAGATGCTCATGGGTAGCGAGGAAAAGGGAATATGACTAAGGTACATTAAGTAGCCCGGGTTACTCTGTAACCACGGGGGACTGTCCCTAACAAAGCAGAGGGACACCTTGGGATGTGTCTACAGGATGTCTAGGAAGGTTTCTTGGAACTCTGAATCTGAAGAGCAGGGTAGAGATACAGGACAGGATTTGGGAGACCTGGGTAGACTCCGAGGCAGACGAGGACTCCCGGAGAGCACATTTTTTTACTAAGAGAGAATGACCTAAGCAGGGCAGCCCCCTGGGGGACCCCACCGTTCAAAGGGTGGCTGAAGGCAGAGGAGCCGGGTGTGAGGCTGAGCAAGAGAGTGGTTAAAGAGAAAGACGGCTGGAAGCCAGTGCTGTCATTGCAACCAGAGAGGGACGGCTGTCTGGCGTGGGTGGGAAGTTCTGTCCCCCCCATGCCCCACCCCCGGGGAAGAGGAGCAGCGCCAGATACAGCGGTGGAGACCCAGCCTCGCAAGACCCTCAGCTCCAGCCGGCAGGGTGGCAAGCGCAGCGGGCCAGGTCTTCTGGTGGCTAAAGGAAAGCCAGACGGTGGGACTTTGAGGTGAAATCTCCGAATTGGTGAAAGTCAAGTGGATTAAGAACGGCATCCACAACTGCCTGCGCAGCCTCCGGCCGTTACAGCCCAGGTGTGGGGAGATATGGGTGGGCTGAAGGGAGACTCGGGGGGCCGGGGGGCTGGAGAGGTGCCAGGGGTGAGGCCCCCGGGGGCCTCACAGATGGAGGGGGGTTTAGGAAGTTTGGGGGCTGAAGGGAAAGAGTCAGTGGACGGCATTCTTGCCCTCTTTTCACAGGGTTTCAAAAGTGTTATCATTTTTTCCCCTTCAAATTAGAAAAAATACCTGCAATAACAAAATAAAATGTGAGTTCCTCCTCACCCACCCCATCCCACTCCCCAAAGGGAATCATTTTTTCAGGTTCCTATGTATTTACACATACATATGTGACTTTTAAAATAAGTTATGGGGTAATTCCATACAAATTGTTTTAGGTCTTTCTGTTTTACCCACTCATATATGTACATGTAGCTCTTTTCTTTGTAACTTATTTTAGTCATAACTTATTTCATTCGCTTATTCGTAACTTATTTTGTTCGCCTGGGCATACAGCTTATTTTATCATTCCATTTTTTTTTTTTTTTTTTTTTGAGACAGAGTCTCGCTTTGTTGCCCAGGCTAGAGTGAGTGCCGTGGCGTCAGCCTAGCTCACAGCAACCTCAAACTCCTGGGCTCGAGTGATCCTTCTGCCTCAGCCTCCCGAGTAGCTGGGACTACAGGCATGCGCCACCATGCCCGGCTAATTTTTTTATATATATATATCAGTTGGCCAATTAATTTCTTTCTATTTTTTATAGTAGAGACGGGGTCTCGCTCTTGCTCAGGCTGGTTTTGAACTCCTGACCTTGAGCAATCCGCCCGCCTCGGCCTCCCAAGAGCTAGGATTACAGGCGTGAGCCACAGCGCCCGGCCTATCATTCCATTTTTGATACCACAGTGTTTCCAAGTTTTTGCTGTTGCAAACAGCACTTCAGTGAATCTCATATGGTGATCTTTGGTCCCTTGTGTGGGTCCTTCTGTAGGACAAATTCTTAATGCTGGACTTACAGGTCATGGGGTCTGCCCATACATGTACTGTTTCCCTGAAGGTCTTCTTGAATTTGCTCTTCCCTCAGGGACTGGGAATGAAAAAAGCAAGGGTGAAGTCGTATTTCCAAGGAAGCTTATAAATCAGAAGTAAGGCTTTAAGGCATCCCAACTTGATGACTACAGCCTTCTTTTTAGTCAAGATGTTGTGGTGACTGAATTTATGCACAAGTAACTCTTATTAACCTGATAGATATGCCCCCACTGTAAAGAACTCTCAAAGAGATGAATTAACTGTAACAATCTACCCTTCTGGTTGGACCAGCCATCTTCTAGGTTTAGAGTCGATATTTGAAGAAGACACTGATTCCCGAGGCCACATTTAGACATTGTTCAAAGAGTCGCGATGGGGGAAATTTGTCCACGGATTTCAGGGAGCCCAAAGACCGAAGTCGATGAAACATTTTTTTAAAAACATGCTTATAGTCCCAGAACGTGGCATTTAATCTGTGACATCATCAGTTTAATTATATTTTCAGATCATTCTTTGGCACGTAATGGGGAAAACCCACTCTCATTCCTGCAGAGAAACACAAAAACATGCCGGAAAAACAAAGATGCAGTGTGAACAGCCTCTTCGCAGGGGCCGGCTGATGGCCGGCACGCTTAGCTCAGAGCGCCCTCTCCTGGCCGCAGGCTCCCCTGCGCCAGCCTGGGTCCCGCCCACCCAAGGGCAGTCAGAGTCTGATTTTCGGTGTTTGGAAAAGCTGCTCCAGCTCCCTAATTCCAACATCAACAAATCTTTGAGCTTCTTCTGCTGTAACCACTGAAACCCAAAGATGTTCTTTTTCAATATTTGTGCAATATTTTCAAGTTACGCAGGGCTCTTCCTCCTCTGTAAGAATGATTCCTTGGTGACTCGTTTTTAAAAAAAATACTCTTCTTAGATCCAAGTTAAGACATTGGGATTCCACTTATGTTTATAAACAGGGATAAAATTCATAACTTTGGATAAGTGGGAATTAGATCTAGATGCCAAGGGAAAACAGCAAACAATTATATGTGCCATTACTCAACACATTTGAGCAAAGTCTGGCTGAGATTGGGTTTCCTATTCACTCTGGAAAATTGTCAGAACCTCAAGTTAGCCTCATCTATCCTGTACCCAATTAACTGCTATTTGCTGAGTACCAACTGCGTGCCAGGGAACGTGCTAGCAGGTCCGAAGGGTGGACGACAGGAGCACAGTGCCACTGTAGCCATCGCTTGTGTTAACCAGGCAGTGTTTATATTGCAAAACGCTTGGGAATCTAAGAGCGTCATAATTGGTTCCTGGAGCCTCAATCATGTTATTTCAAATGACCTGTTAATCTACCCTGTGCCGTTGCTCCAAAATTTAACCAGGTTAATCCTCTCAGCTCAGAAATGGCTTCTTTCTAGCTTCTTCAAAGGGGCTATTCAATCCTCCAAGGAGCAAGCTCATAATCTGTTATGATAGGAAGGAGGAGGCAGATGAAAAGAAAACAATTTCTCCAAATAACTGCCTGTTTTCTTTGGAGCCGGGGTGGGCAGCGCCGCGGCCGGGCCCCGTTTGGATGTGGGCGCCTGCGGTTGCCTGGCGCTGTCTTCACAAACGCTGCCAGGGTGAGCCGCTAACCCTCGCCCTGCCCCGCGCCCTGCTCCTCCTCCTCCGAAGAGAAGCCCCCTTCCCCTCTCCCTCCCTTGCTCGCTCCGTGGCGTGAAAGCCCTGCTGGGACCCGCTTGCCAGACAGAGGGAGATAGGTCCGGAAAGGGCCGACCCCAGAGTGTTTTCTACCAACCTGGCCACCACATTCAGCAGATGGCAGCACAGGTAGACGCGACAGGCAACGTCATCCGAGACAGATAAGGAAACGACGCACGGCCCAGGCTGTGCAGTGTCCTTGTGTAAGCCCCAGGGCATCGTCCAGCGAGATTCCACTCGTTATTTACGCCTTGACTTCTGTTAACCTCTAGGTGGAACTTGTGGGAGGGCAGGCATCCTTTCTTCCCCGCGTCTCTTGGACTTACACCTACAGCGTGATGCTTCCTTTGGGAGGGTCACGGATCCTTCTGTTTTACTATGCAAAGTTCAATGAACTATCTACTAGTTCACGTGATAAATGAACTTAGCATTAAAAAAGACAAAATGCTAACGTTCTCTCTAAAATCATTTCTGATTTTCCAAGAAGATGGTACTGAAGGGCTGTATTTTGTGAGCTGGCTCCATCAGAAGTTCCAAAATTGCGGGTGCCTTTCCCCCCAAATTACACTGTTCAATTAAATCCAGTCCATTCGGTTCAACTCACCAAATATTTATTGAGCTGAGCGCTACGTTAGAGAAAGACCTGGACGCTGCCCTCAGGAAACTCACAGACCAAAAGATGAGACAGATGAGTAAACGAATCGTTGCAGTCCAGCGCAGCGAGTGTAACGATAGAATGATACACCGGCGGCCGCTCAGGCCTCTGCCCGCATGGAGCTATGGTCTGTCTGGAGGGAGAATCAGACCGAATTGGAAAGTGGCACAACTAAAAGCAGAGTTTAAACTTTGACCAGTGCTGTGGAGGAGAGGCAGGCAGCACGGTGAGAGCGTTCACGGGGCGTCTGGCTGGGGGGCCAGGAAGGCACCTTGAAGAGGTAAAAGTTGGGATATGAACGGTGGGTCAGGGCGAGTTAGTTGCAGAGTGGCGGGAAGAGCGGGTCGGTCCAGGCAGGGACGAGAGTGCGTGCAAAGGCACTGCGGCAGGAGGACACAGGGTGTGCCCCAGGGACCACACCAGGGCTGGTTGGCTAGAGCACAGGGCAGGACGGGCTGGGTGGGTGGCCTGGGGTGGAGCGATCAGCAGGCCTGGACCCCACGTCCAGTCTGGGTTGCCCACGGTCTTCCCTTCTGTGTGCTCACGTCCCTCTGTACAAAGATCAGAACAGCACCTGCCTCGTGGGAGGGAGAGTGCTGTGGGCGTCGGCTGCTATGACTGCTGTCATTACCGTCCTGGTGGCTCTCACAGGCTGAGCTTGTGGATGAGGACTCGGCCGGCCCAGCATGGACGTTTCTTCTTAACGATCCCCGCTGCGTGTGTGGGCGCAGTGCCACAGCTGTCAGAGGCCCCAGAACTTAGCCTGAACGCCCGTAAAGGCAACCTCTGGCTTTCTGGAGACGTCCTGAGTGAATGACAGGCTGGGCAGCTGACCACAGGGCTCAAAAACAACCTCCGAGAGTTTATCCCCAAATACCCAGAAAAAAAACGAGACAGAGGAAGAAGGCCGGAGCCTCCTGAGAGAAGGCTGTCTATAAATGGAAAATGACACCGAAAGAAAACAAATCTTATTTGACATGAACCCGTTTTGGACTCTGTCTGGAAATCCAGGGCAGAAGGAAGTGGAGGGGACAGGGAGTGAGCGAGCAGGTGTGCCCAGGCCGAGCCTGCCTGCCGGGACTGGCGTGGACGCTGGCGTGTGTGCCGTGACGAGGTGACAAGGGGGGGGCTGCGGTGGCTGCCGCGGCTCCCACACCTGGGCCAGACCCAACCAGACCCAGCCAGACTCAACCAGACCCAGCCAGACCCAGCCAGACCCAGCCAGACCCGGCACTCCCAGGGCCACCCCAGCGCGGCGCGGTGCTGCGTGCCCGGCTGCACGTGCGGCCACAGGCTGACGCGGAGGACGAGGGGGCTGCGGCAGGTCCCGCCAGGGCCGGGAGGACCTGGGGTCGGAGGCAGAGTACACCCAAGGGTACTTCTGTTTTCTAAAACAGGGGGCCTTCAGGGTCACTACCTGGGAGAATCATTGTCGCCTTGAATGGGGTAACCCACCCAGTGCGTGCCTAGTACCTGACAACTCAGCGCTCTCTCCCGGGCAGCTTGGAGCCTGTCACCCAAGACTTTGGGTTCTAGTTCTGCAGCCCCCTGTGGCGGAGCTCTAGGCGACTCCCGAGCCTCTCGATGCCTGTGCTTCTCCTTAGAGAAGCGTCACGACCTTGCAATTGAAGTGACTCTCCCTCAAAAACATTCACCATAAGAAGAGGC